CCACCACTGATATTGGGATATTTTCCGCTCAACATCCCAATCAATGTGTTTTTTGTTCCTCACTTCCCGGTGATTGTCGCCAGGCCAGGCACTTCAAGCCGCTGAGCTGTGGTTAAAAGGCGTCCCCGTTTGGAATGAATAGAGCCGGCTAGTGCTGGGAGATGTGTTTTTTATTTGAGTAGGCATGCTAAGAACTCGAGACGACCTGAGACTAAGTTGTTTGGAGATTTCGATTTCAGACAGATTGAGGGAATGTTTGTCAGGATGAAAGAAGCACAAGGTCCGGAAAATCAATGACCGACCTGAAGATTGCAAATGTCTCCCAAACAGCCTCAGCTCAGGTGATGGCTTGCAATATGCCTTGGCGCTGCGTTCTGCCGTGATCTATGTTCTCGGTATTTGCTCGGTGCCATTGCTTTTCCCTTGCACGGACAGCCCTGAGGCTGGGGAGGGGGAGCAGGAGAGCAGAGACTCACTGAGCTGGGAACACAAAGCCTTGAAAGAAGACTCAGGAAGACTTGAGGGAACCAAGGGCTTGGACAGTCTTGTTGCTTGGGATGAAGGTCGGCACGTCAACTGCACGTTTGATTAATGCTTCTGAGTCTGAGGTTTCCCAATCAGTTCCACTGTTTCGGCCAATTGTTAAGCAAGGCGCCATTGACGAGTTGGGCCTCTTGCCCCAAGAGCCCTTACAGCTTCATCCCAACGAAGCTTGGCCAAGTTGGTTCAGCTCACTCCTGGCACAAATGCAAGTAATGCAAGTATGACAAGTTACTTAAATGATGCGGCGGGATTAATGCCAAGAGTTGGGCAAGGAAGGATATGTGAGCCTCCTCTTCATTGGGCAGGAAGTACGTTGGCATGCTCTCGGGTCGTACTGGTGTGCACAGATCAGGTTATGTACGTTGTTTCAATATGTTTCAATGATCAATGTCATAATTTCATAATATAATTTGACATGTTTGAAAACTGAATGTGATTGAATGTGCATATGAGAAAAGACAACACATGTACTTTGAGCTTGGGCTTTAAAAGAGTCATGCCCAATCTTATATGTTTTTTTCCATCGGCCGCGGAAACTTATGTGTTTGACACGTTTTCACTCATCCTCAGAGCTACAAAACACAACGGCGACACTTTGGCCACAACGGCGCGCCACAAAACACTGAGCATGTGAGATGTCGCTTTTACAGCCAAATGGACAGAACAGATCCAAACAGATCGCAAGGACCAGACAAAGTTTCTCGTACCAGGTTCTTTTGTAATGTGTTTGTGTGACCCGTCATCGTCGGCTGTTGTAGGGTTTGGGCTCGGTTCAAGGTAGTTGCAAAGCACTTATCCAATTCAAAGGTGATATAATGTGATTATCTGATAGGGTTGCAGACAGATAAAGGTCCCACCTCATCGGTTCCAAAGTCAAAGTGCTTAGAAGTCATGATCATAGGAATCTTTAGGATACAACAGCATCCACGGAATACCGGGCCTTTTTCCTGGGTTTTCTCCAAAATTGCCGCGTCTTTAAAACGCACAAGGCAATCACTGAGGAAACAATGTTTGCGAGGGTGGGTTTGTGGCCAGCGAACTATGCCAAAATTTTAAGATCCTCAGTCAGAATGCCAGTCGCAAACCCTTACCGTTGGCTTTAGGCAAGTAGAACTGGGATCGGGACTACAAGCTCGAATCGGCAGAAGGGATGACCTGAAGTTTATGGCTACATCTCTGGATGACCCTGCCTTGCATGCTCACCGTGGGAATGGTTTAAGGCACTCACTGGTTTAAGGTGTTGGAGTGTGAGGCTTCAGGAATTTGCCACGAACTGGCAATGGTTCACCTTCAAATAACTATACTACGTTTGCGTAAAACTTTGGAGAGGAGGAGATGATGCTGGATGGTTCTGGTAATGGTACCAACTGCTCCAGCCGCCAATTGGCGAGTGATCACCCGTGTTTTCAGATTTTGCCCTGTTTCTGGAGCTGTTTTGATCACTTTGCAACCTCTGAGGAATTTGATGCATATCTTCCACATTTTGCCATTCTGGTATCTTCTTGGCACGTAAAGCGTTTCGACTCCTGTGTTTGGTCATGCTTGGCCATAAGATATTAAATGGTTTGTCATCATAGGTGCTTAGAAGCGGGGTTGAAGGTTATATATTGGAAAGTTTCAAGGTTACCTTTTGGAAGTGGGGACAGGGACTTGCGCGACCTTGTACTTGTCGAGGTATGCCTTCCTGGTGACACCCTACTTGGGTGGCCTAGTGAAAGCTATTGTTGATGCCATTCTGGGTGTTGGCTTGGGCCTCGCAGCAGCTAGCATTTGGGCATGCATTGGCATTCTCATTGTGCAGCTGATATGAGTCCAAATTCAACCATTATGTGTTTCATTGTTCGTTGTTTCCACCAAGACGACATTGCTCATCATATAATGTAAGAAGGATGATTTACCTATATAATATATATATAATTGTGTTTCCTTGTTTCTAGTTATTTCTAGTTTCTAGTCTCAACCACTAGACCATATCGTTTTCTTGCAGTGAATCAGTGGATCACGCACCTTCAATCCAACTGAACAATTGACATACATGCAGATATCTGAGGACGCAAACTCAAGTGAGTTGCACATATCCGAGCACTCAAGTCGGTGTTGTCTCTTCGATCGACATGGCACATAACACTCGTTTGTCGAAGGCTTGCTGAATCTTCTTCTCCCTGGTGGAGCAGCGGGACCTAATTATTTGGCCCCTGAGTATTTTGAACAGGCGTGGCTTCCTTTCAGAGCCTTGCTTCAACCAGCTTTGCTTTGGCTGTTTGCTCTTGGCTTTAGTTTTGCCTGATGTAGCAGAGGTAAGTGTTTGGGGACCCTTCTTTGAGGTATTTGGCTGATTTTGAATCTGAGGATACAGCACATTTTCTGCCTTCATGCTGGCGCTGTGCTTTACCTATGGTATCTTGGCAAGTGGTTGCAGCTCGTTCCGCTTTTTCAATCCCCCTTTGTACCAGAAGACCTTTCAGATGGGAAGAGCCCTTGTGGGGGGCGTCTTCCAGCTTGTACCGTTGATGCGGGCTGATGTACAGAATCACAGATCCAAAGACCGTTCGGAGCGTACCAGAAGATGCGGCAAAATCCCGACCAAACTGTTGCGCAGGGTCAACCTGTGCGTCTTCAACCTCACCTGTCACAAGCTTGGGCCAAGCTGTGAACAGCTGAGGACTTTTTGTGAGCAGCTTGAGCTTGGGCAAAAAGCAATATGCGTTGGGCCTCTTTTCCGAGCTCTTGGTGCCCTTTATGAGTCCCACGACCCGCACGGGTTTCCGAGCCGTGCCTTGGCCCTGGTGTTGCGAAATGACCGAAGAGTTCGTTTGTTTGGGCGTGGCCCCCTCAAAGAACATATACCTAATAGCAATGGCCTCCAACCTACTAGCGATGGCCTCCAATCTACTAAGCGATGGCCTCCAACCTAATCGCAAAGAACCTATCAGAAGTCTTTTCTGGCCTTTGCCCATCTCCAGGATACGTGTAGTTTTATCTATAGTGTTTCTGTTGTTTTTCGCCCACCAGGCTCGGGGATGAGTTTTGGGATTGGCATGTATGCCGATGTATGCTAGGTCTGACGGGTGTTGGCCAGGTCTGTTGGGATTGGGACTTTGCTTGGAACTGGAATGGTGCTGCGATGTGTGGCCCCATGGTGGCACAAACGACGCCTGTTCGACACTCGACATGGCCTGTTCGACACTGAGCGACCGACGGTCAAACGGCGAGAGCGACGGTCAAATGTCAAACTGTTTCAGCACGGCGTATAAAGGATGGATAGTGTTTTAGATCCTCCGTAGCTAACGTTTAGTCGAGCACGAGTGGCACCACTGTGCGAGATGCAATGAAACGCAACGGGAAAGGTCCTGAAATTTGGAACAAGTCATTGTCATCATCCCAAACCTGCTACTTGGCCAGAAGCAATTCCTTCTAGAAGTGGGCAAGAACCAGAGGCAGAGAGCAATTTTCAGGAAAATGGGCATCGCAACACCACGAACGAAACTCGCACTCGGTGCTACATTTACATCCCGCAGATGTGCCGCAGCTAGTCCTTCGGCACTGGAGGACTTTGGCTCGTGCTCCTTGCCGTGCTGTTGTCCGTCTTTACCTTGGGTTTGCTGCCACATCGCCGTTCCATCGAGATGCATACAGCCAGATGGGCCTCTGCCTTGGCGTTGGCCCAACTTGCAGAGGCTGACAGGGACATCGAACTCTGTTCAGGTGGGCTTTTGAACTACCTAGACCACATAGGATCAAGGGTTCATAGGATCAAGGGTTCCGGCTGCCGATAACCGAAATACTGTACGTACATATTGCTTGCTGGTGTATATTCAAATTTGCCAACAATTCCATGTTCCTTGAGTTTTTGGTGTTTCTTTGTTATTTTTTTCACGTGTGCGCATGCTGCTTTGGGGTTGAAGAACAGATTAGCTTGATCGGCAGGATACAGGTGGCTGCTTGGAGTATTTGATGACCATCTTGCAGCAGGTGCTTCGAGAACAAACTTTATGATATGCTGAAATGTCATTGCTTCCACGCGCCAAAAGGAATACAGAAATTGAAACCAAAGGAGTATCGATAACGTATACAAATCTATATATATAGACGACGTACACACATATATATATATACATAAATATATATGTATATGGATGTGATATATGTACGTACGGCTGAATGTAGAATTGGAATACAAATAAGCAATAGATATGAATACTTATCCAATATCTCTAAAACCAGCAGGTTTTATCGTACTACAAAGTAATTGGAACTCGAGCCATTTGAGCTTCAACAATGAGCTGCAGCCCTTCAAAACAACTAGGAAGATTAGTAAGTGACTGGTGGCTCCTGGCCCTAGTGCACAGGATGCCTGGAAGTTTCAATTCCACGCGGAAAGCTCAAATTTCTATATCAAGCACCTTGGATGAACCGTTTCGCAAGTCGATCATCACTCAACGAGATAAACTCAATGGAGCACATCATGGACTTTTTGTTGTGGATGCACCTTTGTTGTCAGCCTGCAGCCTGAAAGTGCTTTTTTTTCTGGATACTACTTGTTTCATGCCACATCTACTTTGACAAAGCTGTCATTTTTGCTCCTTGCTCAGACAGTAGGCATGAATCGGTATAGCAGCTGGCCTTAAAGGGGTTGAGGTAGAGATATCCGTACAGAAAGGATCAAAAGAATGATTTCTTTGACATGCATATATATATATGTATACAGCTTGATGGTTTTGTACTATGTTGTACCCACCTGATGGAAACAATATGAATCCATGGCCTGACAAAACAGAAGATGCACAGCGTTTCACGGCGTTTCACCGGTTGCGAAGGCACTTGGGCCTGCGACTTACGCGTGCCGAGATGATCCTGGATCTGACGCCGTGGGAGGGTGGCTCTGATCTCACCACAGTGGTGGCTTTCCTCAGGCCTTTTGAAGCGCTCAGAAGGAAGATCTCGAAACAGCAAGAGTTCGGCAGATGCTTTTAAATGTGAACAGCTATTTTTGGCAGTGTACCTTTCTAAATTCCTGTGCAACATGCTTTAGTCTTTTTTTGCCAAAACATTTACCAATGCATGTTTGTTGTCGTCAGCTCCATTACCACACCCAGACCTCACCTTCCTTGCAACAAAGAACCCCTCTACAAAAGGGCTGCAAAAGCAAAGCCTTCAGAAGTAGGCAGGTTGTTTTCCACGCAATAGCACGCAACCACTTCTGCACAGCGGATAAACCACGGGGCGGTTCTTGTTGGGGTGGTCTTGAGGTGACTACAGGGCTATGATATTTGGCGGCGTTCATCGGGTTCATGGTTCATGCTTGACTCTATATTTGTACAGTATGGTATGGTGTGAAAGAAGTCTCTGTATACTGTATATGTTTATATACTGTAGACATAAAATCCAGGATTCAATGTTGAACCGCATGATGGAAAACATCGTGCTACAGTACCACGCATATTTCAGTACAGTTGCCGCGGTTCGTCGACACTTTCGATCCAAGACGCGTTAGAGTGTGGTTCACTCAACCTGCAGAGAGGTCCGAGGTCCGAGCGTTGGTGATCGAACCCAGCTGCATGACTGAGCGTTGGTGCCTGTCAGGCAGCTCAGACAATTGCTTCGTATCCAAAGCGAGCAGATGCCACACATCTGAGACAGTTGCAGACATTTTGTATTGTGGTCCATACTGCTGACAGTAAAGCAGGCTTTGTGATGTAACAGGCAGGAGAAGGAAGGGAGAATGGTTTTATAACACCAACTCTTCTAAGGAAATTCAGGGATTCCCATTATTTCTCAAGCAATTGGACTACTTGGATTTGCGTGATGTGCAGAAGGAAGTGATATATCGATATATCGATAAAAAGAGAACGCAATCTATCGCAAGCTTTAGTTTTGCGTTTTCTCATGACAATTTCCAGCCCTTGTGGGTATGGAGATCAAGGGACCTGCCCGAGGCGATATTTTGGGCAGACTATTCCAAAGGGAGAGCATCTCTGCGCAATTTGTGGTGATGTGGATTTGGAACAGGGGACACCTTTGAGGATTATGGCATAGTATGGCAACATTATGTTCTTTTGCAAAGGAATTCTTGCATAGGTGTGGACAGTGTCGGTTAGTCGACACTAAGTAGAATGAGATCTGACTTGAAATCCTCCAGGATGGAAGCAATCAAGTTATTTTTGGTTTGTATCTAGGGGCTCCTGGCCTTACTACTAGGAGCAAGAAGCTACTAATGCACCTGTTGGGCCGCTCATCACATGGGTGTGGGTGAAAACATGAAAACCAGGGGCTGCCCGAAGGGGCCGCTCATGCTCCCATGTGCTCCGGGGTCCAAACCCGAACTCGCCTCCTTCAGGTGAGTCTTCCTTCGTCGGTTGGTTCACCGATTTCCCGAGGCAGTTGAAGCTGGTGGACTTCCTTCAGGCCTGCAACGAGGGACTGGCCTTGGTGGCCAGTGACTGCCGAAGCCATGCTGATCTCACCAAGGCCGATCGGCCGCGGAGCGATGGAGTCATGACCCTTGAAGTCTTTTCTTGGTGAGGAAGGAGTTTAAAGAAGGATCCAGGATGCATGTCATCGATGTAATTACTGTAGTGTAAATTAACGGATTGAAAGCACAGATGCATCATCTTACCTAGCAAGAACAGACCACCAAGACCATGAGCACTGAGCACTCTTTAAAGTTTGTGGAACACAGACAAAGAAGGTCGACAAGCTCGAAGAATGCACATGGATGTGCAAGGAGAGCTGCGCAGAGCTTCAACGGATTGCCGACAAAGCTGATGAGGTGTTGGTCCAGTCGCTACGCAGCCTTGCGGAAAATGACAAGACGCTTTGGTCTCAAATTCGACTGGCTTTGAGTTGCCCAGTCAGTGAGTTCAGTGACTGCCCAGTCAACGACAGGTGGTTGGCCATTTCTCACACTATGCTGGGTAGCGGCGTGCTGGCTACAGACATGCAGAGTCCCGTGTCCATACCGTAGTCCATTCCTGAAATATGAAAGCAGAACAAAAACATTGACTAAAAGATGTGCTCAAAGGTGAGTTCACCTGGTGCTGTGTTTCCCCATAGTCCCCAAATGCGTCCCAGTTGCCAGTCTATTCCGTGTTTCGGCACTGGAAGCATAGTATACTGCGTAGAACATGGTCAATGTATGGAGAGACCAACACGGAACAACGCGGTCTACACATGACATGTATACTATATATAATTATACATAATATACCCCAGGACCTTCCGGGACCGAGGTGTCTATTTTCATCGCCTCTCGGAGGTTGAATGTCCAAAACCGGAAGGTCCTGATATGTAGGATGAAAAAAAGGTTGGTCATGTCGTCCGCCTTTTTCCAGGATGAACATGTCCTGCTCTTCCTTTCTGGGTGCTTTGCGCTTTGGTCCACACCCAATGAGTGACCCACCATAAGAAACAGCCAGCTCCGAAATCGATTGAACCGACGTCATCGAAAACCCATTGAACGAACCGAGGAGATCGATGGCCTTTGTAGACCTGCTCCGCAGTTGGCCCCAGGCCTTCCGTCGCCTGGGAGAACGACATGAACCGCGGAGAACGGAGGAAGCTCGTGTGTCCACGACGTGGAGAGATCGGAAGCTTGGCTGAGAGCGGTCGGTGTTTTTCTTACGATTTGTGGCGGTCTGGGGATGAGGTAGAAGAGGTCTGGGGATAGGGATGGCCTCAACAGTTTGAGTGTGAGTTTGACTTAAGCATGCTTTGCGCAGGAATATGGGGTTCCCCAAGCGATGAGTCTTCGGATTCTAAAGACCAGACAGTCAGTGGGAAGGTCAGATGATCGTTTCGTGAACAGAAATGAGAAGAAGGTGAGTCACACTCCTCAGGCATTGGTTTGCACTTCGAAACACCACTTCTTGGACCTTGGCGCTCTTATACTCTCTTTACTTTCGCAGCTTGGCTTGGGATTTCTGAAAGAGCTCAGGAAATGATCGCTCTGAAAGAAAGGTTCAGACTGCATTTGCATTTAGACACCGGAAGGGGCTTTTGGCTATCACCCATCGTTGTTTTCAGCATTGTGAGATGCTGTCAGCTCATCTTCTCCGTCAGTGATTCACTGACTACATCCGTCAGCTGAACCAGGTGACTACAACTGCGGATGTGTCGTGGCCACATCTTATATTTTCTCGCAAACCTCTGGATCGTCCTTCGATGTGAACATCAACAGACTGCTGGGTGTTTGCATGGGTTTGGCGGTCGGCAACATCCCAGCTTTGCTGAGCCTGGTCCAAAGGGTATTGGATAGTCAATTCTAGTATAGAATGGCATAGAACGGCAAACAACATCCGCAGACATTTAAACATAAGGCCCGTTGCATGGTGTTCAGCTGCAATTCTTGTCCTACCTGTCACTTCGTCAATCCGAAGAGCATCGAGGTATTTGCGCTCAGCCAGAAATATGCTCGCAGCATTCTCACCAAGGATTCTGAGTGATCGGACTGCAGTAGATCCCTCTTCCACCAGCTATCTCCTTCGCGTCTTCATGTATTTTGTGGTCATGCTCATCACTTGGACTTTGGCGATCTTCGGATACCTGGCAGTGGATTCCAAGTACTGCGGCGCCTGCCTGAATTGGGCCGGGGGACCCCAAACAAGATGGTCATGCTTTGTGTCGTTTGTGTGGACATTAGTAGCTTTCTTGCTACTACTAGTAATGCACCTTGCTCCTAAGTAGCGGTGCCGCGATGCCCAGTAATTACTACAGAGAGCAATTGGACGTTTCATAGATGTTTTTCTTTGTTCCACAATCAAAGACAGATTTCTCGTGCTGTTTGACGTTGCCTTCAGCATCCTTTAGCTCCTTCAGCATGCTGTGCTGCATTCTTGAAAGACCTTCTCCACCCACACCCTCCCCATTCAAGTGATCATGCAAGTTTACATGTTTAAGTGACCGAAGGCTGCCCTATCTGGAGTGCAAATGCATCTTGGAAGGATGATTACAAGTCGGCGGTCGCTGGTCGCTCCCAACGGACGCAGCATGACCCGCTAGAGAGTCCAAGGTCATATCTCATACACACTCATGTAGTTTCCCTTTGCCATTTCACCTTGTCCTGATCCTGGACAACTGGCCTTCGATAGAAATGTCAAATGTGTCAGACTCTCAGGCTGCGCCATTTGCCGCGAGTCAGCATGTTGGACGTCGACCTCTTTACTGCCATCCTTGACAATGTCATGTCTGTCATGGTCAGAGCCTTTGACTTTGGAGTAAATCTTGATTGCATCTAATAGACAATGTGTGTCGTGGAGGCTTGGCAATGACAGCTGCTTTGAACTGCTTTGAGGTGTTGCAACATTCGGAACCTGAATGATTTACATGTGTACATCCTTCTATTCTGTGCATTCCTTTGACAAGATCAGTTCAAATCCACGGCCTCCAACAGACTGTCCTAGCTCTTCCTTCCTACATGGCTATTGGCGACCTGCCACGCGCCACACTGCCAAATGCCAACTCAATGCTCACAGTGCTCGTAAGTTGGGGACGCAGATATGCTGTAGAAAGCCCTCCCGAATCCTGTCCTCCTCGTAGTCCAACAATCAGTGCATATTGAAACATATCCTTTATATTTGCCAGAGCTACTTTGAGATACCTATCACAACTTGTCTCTGACGAGGCCAACGGATGAACTCCTGAGATTTGAGAAGGATTCTAAGAGCAGTGACTAAAGGGGATCTCCGTGGTAAGTCAATGTTCTTAATCTTTGGATAGTCAGAGACTATTTGTGAAATACACGTTGCAGTTGATTTGCATGTAATTAGATTGTATGTATTTAGACATGTGGCCTGTTTAACCAGACAGTTTTGTGATGTTGCAATCTTTTGACAAATAAAAAGAGTTCCAGTGCAGCTTGAGTGAGGTTGTGTTTCTGGTCGACATGGTTTTCGCCTACATGCAGGCTAACCACGTGGCAGGGCTTGAACATGTATCCCTTTCTCTCTTTGACACTGAGCCGAGCTTTTTTCGATGTTCTACCAGTTAGTTCAATGTCTATGATGATTGGTGATTGTTTATATTTGTAAATTGACATGGTGCATCATGTTGTTGTTCCTTTCTTGGTGACACATAATCTAGTAACGGCTGGCAGTGATGCACTTATTTTCATAGCAGTAACATCCTAACAAGGATTTATTGCACATATGTTTTTCTTTTATGCATTGTTTGTTATTGAAATTTCTATGATCATGTGGGATAGACAGTCGGTCGGGAAGTTGTCCAACTGCAGCAAGATCATTCTAGAATTCTGGGCACAAGAAACCTAACACAACGCATCCAGTATATATATATATATATGTTTATGTTGTCATGGTGTTGTCGTTGTCGTTGTTTGACATCCTCCCACATGCCGCGACCAGTTGCTGCACACTTTAGGTACGAACAAAAAAAGTGAATTGTGAGCAGAATGATTGGGGGATGGTCCACAGTTTGATCTGTCACAAGGGGCAGCAATGGCAACCCAATATACTGGACTTCCCGTATTGTATTTGAGCGTGCGACACCAAAAGCTAAAAAAAGCTGCCGCACTTATTTCTTGAGCCAAAGTTCAGGTTGGGTTGGTTTCAGTGCTCATGACTGACGTGTCATCCTCCAAAAAAGGAAAGGGTGGAGCGGTGCTCAGGATTTCTCACTCCCCCTGATGTTATTAACATCATACCTTCTCAAAACTGCCGAGAGAATGGGAGCTGTCTGTTTCGTCAGACTCCCGATTCCCTCCAGTCACGGCAGTTTCAATGCCTAACCAAACAGGCATCTGGGATGGATCCTCTTCGATCAATCCCTCACCAGCCAGCGCCCGGGTCCAGCCGCCCTCGATGGTGCCGGTCTCACCCCTTTTCTCATAGCCCTGCAGTCAGACTCGATAGCCCTGGCTCTCCTCACTCGCATGCCTCGAAGCGCCCTCAGCTGATGCCTCCACAGCAGCATAGGAGCCACACCCCGCCTCTGCCAGCGCAGCCCTTCCCCTTTCTACTGCTCGAGACCTCGACGGCTGATCTTCTCCATACCCACGCGGACCTTGAGTCACCGAGCCAGGAGGTGGAAGTGGGTTCGAAGAGGCCGAGCCCACATGTCCTTCAGTCTCTCTCGGAGGGAATCTCACATAGAAAAAACTGTAGCCCCTCCACTCATAGACATCCGCCAAATCTGAGTTGCGGGAATTGATCCAGTCATCCATGATCTCCTTCCTCTTCCAGGCTTCTCGAGTGCTATTTCGATGGAAAGCCACTGTCACCCTCGTCGAAGCCATTCTCTCAATCATGAAGGGCGTCCCCCTATGTAGGGGGTGGAAGGCTCTCACCCTGCTTTTCTTCAGCACCCGAACCCACCATTCGCCTGCTCCGTCTCCACTGCCAAGGCACTCCCACCGGTCATTACCAGTGGGAGGTGTTGCAAATCGCTCCAGCCGCCACGGAGTATCCGTGCCCAGTCCCAGATGCGGCCCCAGAGCACGAATAGCGCACATCCGAGGAATCCATGGCTGCGCGTGCGATGTGTCCGACAGGGTGCCAAGATGGCAAGTGTCGAGCGAACGATCGTCGGTCGATGTTGGGCCAGGTTCATATTCCCTTGACCATCTTGATTTCTCTGTCCACCTACTTGGGTCAGGTTCATTTTCCCTTGACCATCTTGAATCTGTTCTTTTCTGGGTTGCGTTAGGCCTCTTGGTTGACTGGCATCCTGCCGTCTTGTACACACTGCTAGCTACGAAAGTGGCAATTGCTCCCAATGCAGTCACACACGCGATTCGTGGAAGGCTTCCAACGTAGGGCATGGCAGCAAGCAATCCCAGCGAAGCCATTGCAGCATATGCCACCTTTTTCACAGCAGCACCATCCCCATCACCCTGTTGTTGTGAGTGACCCAACGAGGCTGCATCACGGAGACCAACAGCATTCCTGAACGCCAGCCAAGGCTGTGACTGAGTGATGGATTTCGTTAGCAGGTCTGCACACAGCTCCGTTCCTGGGACGTGCTCTACATCCCAGAGATGGTGCTGAAGCCGTTCCCGAAGTACGTGACTTCTCAACCTCAAATGACGAGTCCTCCAGGGACCCGACGGAGCCTGAAGCAGCTGCAGGCCGGACATGTTGTCTCCCTTGAGCGTAAACGCTCCCTCTTTTTCAAGGATGTTCTGGTGCAGCACATTCACCACCGCACCAACACTCTCGCCCAAGGTGAACCCGTCGATATAGCCCAAAAGCTCACTCTCTGTAGTGCTCAGAGTGGCAAAAGCCTGAGACTTCGATTCCCAAGCTACCAAGCATCCACCCCACATAGCCATGATCCCTTGATGACCACGACCTCCAGCAGGAGCGAACGAGGAATCGGTCAGCACTTCCAGGCGAGCCAGCGACTGCTTACGGCCATGTCGGTCAAGCTCAGGCGAACAAGGTCCATATTCCAGCACCAGATCTGGGGTTGCAGCCAAGTATCCAACAACATGGTTCGCCAGCTCCAGCACACCCTTAGGGGATTTGGTTACCCTTGCACCCAAATAAGCAACAGCGAAGCTGAGATCAGGTCTTGTCCTAGTCGACAGCCACAGGAGTTCCCCCACCAGAGTTTGACATTGCTTCACATCCGTGGGGTCTATGACTTCCTCGGGCTCAAGCTCAATCATCTTGGGAAGCGGTGAGTACCTCAGTGGAAGGTCAGGGTGCCGGGTCACAAGTTCTCGAGCATAGTCCGGCTGGCCAATCATGAGGTTTGCTCCATTCCACTTCATCTCCACTCCACAAAACTTCCTCCACTCCGACGAGACCACCCACGTCGGTGTAGAGCATCTCCAGGTCGACGCCAACTTCGTCAGAACGGCCTGTGCGACTGATTGTGGGCCCATGACAATGAAATCGTCCACGTAGGATAGAGCAAACCCCGATGTTTCACCCTCCTCCATGACGTTCACATAGTCCCCTTCTGCCCCATTCGCAGTCATCAATCTCCACACATTTGGCTCTGGCGTCGCATTGATCCAGTAGTGCACACCTGACTCCCACCACCGTAGACTGCGGAGAACATCATCTCTGTACGCTTGCCAGTCCGAGGGTGAGCTGTCCAGACCATACACTGCCGCTTCTACCACCCAACGTGTGTCCGCAGAGATCAGTCCAGCTTCAACCAAAATCGCCGGGGGCTTGGTGACCATGAGCCGAGGTGACTTCCGAGGTGCCAACAAGAAGGCCGAGGAGACGTCAGTGATGCCTATCGACCACTGTTCATAAGCCGCCTTTCTCAGTGCACACCTCAGCGATCCTCCATCGATGCCGCTGGCATACAATTCAAATGATCTTCCTGCGGAGGGATTCACTTGTTTGTCCTCCTTCACAGCCTGAGAGTGTCCTGCTCGTCGTGCAGTATCCTCCACCAAGTTGCCGCATAGGACTATTCTTGATCTCTTCTTTCCATCCGGTGCTTTGACCGTCGGCACCAGTTTCGACGGCACAACCAGCATCTCCTCGTAGCCCGGCTCATGACATAGATCTCGGACTGACACTGGCCGAACAGCCTTCGTGGTGCGTTCCAAGGAGTTCACCTCATACTCCAGTGAGGGAATCCAATCCTTCAGCTCCTTCTTCACCTGCGCCAAAGGGACAGTGTAGGTCTGTAATACGGCATGGACACTCAGAGGAGATTGCTGCTCACCATCAGGGCATTCCCCAACCACCCCTTCAGCCATCTTGGCCATTTGATAACCCAGGTCAAAATCCCTGATCTCTGTCAGTTCATTCTCCAGGGCCAGGACATTCTGCTCAAGGTAGTCCATCAGCGCTCCTCGCAATAGTCCATCCTCTTCACCCACCACCACATCCTTCAAAAGGTCACTCCATAGCTGTTTCCAGCCCCAATGTTCTTCATGCATCCACCGTGTCAGGTTATAGGCTTCCTCAACTCCACACTCCACGGTGCCATTCACAGCCTTCTCCTCAAGCCGCTCCAACGGGGTTTCGCAGAAGTCACAGCATTCCCGTCCTTCCATCTTCTTCATTGAACCCCCATCCGCACATTGTAGACCACACTCCTTGCATACAGCATAGAAGGACTCCCCCCCAGTCCAGACCTGGACTGGTTCTCCCCCGGAAGTAGCATGTAGTCGATGAAGTCCAGGATCAGGCGATGACCTTGGAGGCGGAAGTTGGGGAAGCATTGGTTCCATTGGTTGCTTCCCTGTCAATCTGTGCTGTGGCCTTTCAGGATCGGGAACCATTTGCAGTTCTAGAACTGCTCGTTCTGCGCCTGGGTCTTGTTGAACCACCACCCTAGCATGTTGGATCTGCTCACCCTCCATCAAGACATAGCCCTGTGACATGAAAGGAGATGGACCCATGATGGTCATAGTTCGAAAAGGCGCCGTTAAAGGTCCGAATCCTGCTCTGTGCCACCTTTTGGTTTTCACTGTGACTCTCCCCCCAATCGGCAAAAGTGCTGTGGATGGAACACCAAGACCAGAGCATTGACGTCGAAGTCTCTCTTCTCCCACGTAGCGAGCAATCCCCGGCCACCATTTCTGATCCAGACCACTCTCCTTGATGAGGAGGCGAAGACGTCGTTTCACTTGGTTGACCTCACACTCAATCCGGCCGTTGGACGGTCCTTCATCTCCGCCCGTCATGGTTTGATACAGTCCAAACCGTCGGCAAAAGGCTTGAAAAGATCTCGACAGAAAGGCATACTCTCTATCCGTGTGTACCCGGAGCATGTTGACTCCCATCGCCTTGAACCGACAGAAAATCCGAGTGGCAACCTTGGTGACATCCACCTGTGACCTGCTTTCCAATGGCTCCACCAACGTGATGTTCTGCACACCCACCGGTTCTCCCAGGCTTTTGATGTAGTCCTCCCAGGCTCTATTCAACTTTTGCGCCTGCTCATCATCAGGAACCGGACGCTCATCCTCATCCTCCTCCCCTATAGGCAGTGGATCGCCATCTTCTCCATCCAGCTCCCTTGCTTCTCCATCATCAGGGTCTTCTCTAGGCAGCCTCGGAATGGCCACGGTTGCAACCAGAAGATACTTGGCTCTGGTTCCCAATCCCACGTCCTCACCCTCTGGCATAGGACCCACGATGTCATAGGACAGGCAATAGGCCGCTCTATCCCCCCGAGTTCTACGATGGGGTGCATCCATGCCCATCATTTCCATACATCTCCGGCAGTCTCTTCTGTAGGGCTGATGTTGGTTCCTCACATGGTCCTTCCAGGCCTCCATGTCCATGCGTTGAAGTGCAGGTCGTCCATCACCTTCATGATTTGAAGAGCTATGCAGCCTGCCCAGGTATCTCTTCAAACTCAACTTGATCGCAGCTACAAGCCCCGGTGCCCATGCCGACCATTCTCGTGATTGACATAGCCGCCCTCGCAATGTAGTTGCAGCTTGTTGTCCAGTCCCATCCCCTGTCATGCCATCCAACTCATCCATGTCCGGCATGTTGACAACCATCAGGCTCGTAGGTTTCCTCTTGACATGACCAACGGGGCCTTGGTCCAGGGTGATCAGTTTTGCATTCATGACCTCCATCATGTCCCGAACCTCTCTGAAGTTCCAGAAGCTAGGCATGTCCTCCTGGAGAGCTTCTTCCTTCATGTAGGTCACCGGATCCCTCGGAGACTCCATCAGATAGGCAGGAGAAATTGACCGATGCCCTGGACCTTCTCCCAAGCACACCCTGGCCTCCTCCGCCATCAACCATAGTCCAAACTGTTTCAAGACCAACGCCAGGTCCCCATAGGCCAAGTCCTGCTCCACAGCCGACAAGCCATCCAAACCAAAGCGCCTTTCATCTCTTCCTCTCAACGGCCGCGGACCAGGTTCTCGATGCCGTAGTCGTGAGACACTCCTACACGGAGGCCCTCCCACCACCGCCACCACATGTCCAGATCTGGCCAGATGGCACAAGTATCCCCAGGTTCCCACTGCATGCATGTCATACTGGGTGCCCAAGGCGATGTCCACGTTGAGGACCTCATAGCCATTCCAATCTTCCGCTGTCCAGGTCTTGGTGTCCTTTCCGGAATACAGGTGAATGATGACTCCTGGTGCGCGAGCATGCCGTCGTCGTTGATGCCGATTCCACGGACACTCCTCCGGATTGTAGTGGTCCTGACCCCGCATGTGGTTCCACACCTCCTGAGGCACGTCCGGAAATCTTGATGACCACCAATTACGAATCTCCTCGTCCAGCATCAATTCCCCCCTTGTCCTCTTTCTCCATGATGTCCAGCAACGCAAGGGCCTGCTTCTCCGAGAGCACAGGGCAACCACCTCGCAGTGCGCACTCAATCCTTCCGCTTTGAGGATGGGTGATCTTGACGCCCGCTGAAGTCCACTGCAGTCTATAGCCCAACTTCACTAATCGGTGCAATGGAACTATCACTTCCACATTTTCCTTGGTCAGCAACGTGTTATGCTCCTTGACACGGAACAAGGTCGTGGATCCCGATGCCAACTCCACCGTGACAGGAACCAATCTTGTCAGTTCATGTGGACGGGCTCGGCGTAAGCCATTGGTTGCACCACCGTCCAAGAGAGCCAACGCTTCACAACCATTCGAGCATTGTGGCTTCAGCTCCTTCAATCGCAGCATCTTCATAGTCCTCAACGCCTTCAACAGCGAAGTGGCCTCCGTCAACAACTCAGCCGTGGCATCCTTGCCTTGAGGCTTGTCCGACACCACTTCCGCCCTTGCAGTCGGCAGTGATCCACCATCTCCACGTGCATCATCGAGCTTACCCGTCTCTGGCATAGGCTTCTCCCCCGTCTCTGGCTTGTCGGAGTCCTTCGCGGTCTTCACCTTTGCCACCCTTTTCGCATCCGGTTTCACTCCCCTGGCCCCATTCGGACAATCCTTCTTCATGTGAAGTCCTCCGCAATTGAAGCAGCGACCCTTCATGTCCGTGGTGTCATGGGCATAGGTGCAATTGGTGCCACGCTTGCACCCTTCCTCACTCTTCCAAAACTTGCAGGCCGGCTTTTGTGCAGACCTATCCTCCAACTCCGTAGCCCCAAAGGATGATGCCACAGCCTTCACAGATGTCACGGTCTGATTTCCTGCAGCTCCGGTAGTGGCGGTTGCCGGCTGGGACTTCATTGGTGTCGTCAGCGAGACCTCTTCCACCTCCGCCTGCACATACTCAGACAGCTCCATCACTGCTTCCACCGTTGGTGCATAATCCACTCGTAATTCTTGCCTCACGTTTGCAATGCGAAAGGCCATCTGAGCGCCTCCTGATTTGGTGGCACTGTCAACCATGCGCTGCACCGTGACCATGAGAACCACAGGGTCAGGGAGCGTAAGGTGAAGTTCCTGCGCTCTGGTCAGCCATCGTCGCCATAACCTCACTTGTGTCAGCAAATCTGCCGTCCCCGTGGCAAACTTTGTCTCCACCAAACTTTTGAGGAGTTGCGTTTTTTCCGCCCCTCCTCCCGGCTGGTACGCCACATGTAAGCGGTACAGGATGTGGACCACCGAGAGTTGCCGCCCACTGACAAGATCCCGCCGGAGCTGATCAGGCAATGCCCCCAACAGCATTGCAATGCCCCTTTGTTCAATCCTCTGCAGTGCAGGCTCAACCACCACCACTGGTTTCGCACGCAGTCTCTCCAGGGGTGTCATCGTCAACCAACGTGCATAGTGCTCCTGCGCAATGGAGAGTGACTCTTCCCACCAGGCCTTGGCGCTATGCGAAATGTCAGCCATCAAGGGAAAACTCATAGTGAGCCAGTCCCCAAACAAGATTGAAGCTCCCTCAACATGTGGAGAGGGTAGGGCAGGAAGTTCAAGGTTCCTCAACGCCTCCGTTGTCGATGCAGTCGAGGCCCCACCACCAATTCTCACCACCTTCTGCCCAGATCCATGGTCCACCGTAGAGCTCGACAATGGGTGCCGCCCTTGAGGTAGTCCAGGGGGTTGATCCGGTACAGGGTCTCCCAAGTGTTGACCACTTGAAACCGTCTTGTAGGAAGTCGTATCCGTTGGTTCACGGGAAGTGCCAAGTCGACGAAGTTCCCTTTGAAATGCTTCCTCAGCTTCCCGGAGAATTCTGGTTCTCAGGGCTTCCACATCCTCCGGACCCGGCGACATCGATCCCGAGTCCTGTGCCATAGGTCCAGCGCCTGCCCCAGCAGCCGCCGGAGTGCTCCCACACGTTCGTGCTTCCGCATGACCTCCAGGAAGAAGACCTTCACCTCCAGGTTGACCTCCCTCCACCAGAGTCCGCCTCGCAGCCTCCTGAACACCAGGACTCCAAAAGGGATTGACGTTGGGTGATCGACTTGGTGTTTGTCCCATTCCCTGCCCATAGTCCAAGGCTCGTGGATTCACCAAGCCGCTGCCATCACCAAACAGCCCTCCTCGAGCTCCCGGATCAATGCCAGGTCCAAGAGGTGCGAGTAGACCCTGCCCTTGAGGTTGTCCCGCTAGTGCTTGTTGAAGTGCATGATAAGTTCGTTGGACCGCGTCATGAAGTGCCCCCAAACCCACCGTGGAACTGGTCGATGTTGAAGGTGCCCCAACCGGTTCGCTGGTCTTCACCGACTTCAGCGTTGCTGGCCCCACCTCTCCTCCATCTTCCAGTGCCTTGAGATTGCCCTCCGAGGACCCAGTCACAGGCGGTCGAAAGGAGGTTGGTGGACCCCTAGGAGTGCTTCCCACATCCGATGCCCTCCTCGGCCCCGCATCCGCCGATCGCGACCTCCTCACCTCTTCCTCTATCAGCGCATCCAGGCGGCGATCCGCTTCGCCGATCACCACCGGCGCCGCCTCCGCAGCTGCCTTGTCGCTCGCCGCTCTCCTTCTTCTCATCGTTGTCGATGACATGGCAGGTCGCTTGGGCTCATAACCTGAGCGTGCCACACCAAAAGCTAAAAAAGCTGCCGCACTTATTTCTTGAGCCAAAGTTCAGGTTGGGTTGGTTTCAGTGCTCATGACTGACGTGTCATCCTCCAAAAAAGGAAAGGGTGGAGCGGTGCTCAGGATTTCTCAGTATTAATTGATGTCTCGTCTCACCCAAGACGCAGCTTCAGCTCGGTCACAGGGCAACAGCGCTTCGGAGCAAGTCAAGGCGAAGTCTCATGTCATGCCGTGAAGTGGAGCACGGCGGAGACGAGGAGATATCGGAGGTATTTTGACCGATGTGTTCGATATGTCTTTGCACGGCATCATGTTGCAAACAAAGTCTGAATAGTTTGATGCTTCATGTGGTCGATGACAGTAGAGCGGCGGAATGGCCCAGTGACCTCTTCTGACCGATCGAGTTACGGCTTTTTCTTTTTACCATGCCCACCTCACCATGACCAGGCTGCAGTGACCGAGTGTATCCAACGCATCTCGACTCTGATGAGCACCTTGAAGGTGCGTATGCCGATGATTACTGCATTCAAAGCAACCTTCCAAACAATTTGTGTCTAAATAAACAATTGGCTCATGAGTGTGAGGGATGCTCTTGAAGCACAGAGCATTTAGTAGGACGGAGAAGGCAGTGCTGAACACTTGAGTGGACAGTCTTCTCAAGAAAGTTGACTTGGAACGCCGAAGCCAAAACAGCTTCAGTGTAAGTCAACATCAGCACCAGAGATATTGCCTTAGATCAGCCAGTCTGCTATGATTGGTATTCTCCCCCCCACAGGCTTCAAACCACTTCCAGCATCTTCCAGCTTCGGACTTCGTAGCTTTGCCCGGCATTGCCCGCCGTTGCCCCGGACAAAATCCGCCTCCTCCGTGTCCTTGTCGGTGTCGGTGTCCTCCGGTGCAGCGCCATGGTGAAAGTCAATGGGGATTTCACAATCGAGACCATCACCACGAAGCCCATCGAGGGGCAGAAGCCAGGGACCTCCGGCCTGCGGAAGAAGACCAAGATCTTTATGGAGGGCACGTGACATGGCGGAGGAAAGAAGAGACAGCATGATACAACAGGGTCTTTGTACTATATTTGTTGTTTTGTTGTTCATTTGTATGATGTTGTGTAATTATGTAGCATCATGTATCCAATGTAGTCGATATGTTATGCGGCTATATCACAATATTTCATTACGCGTACATATAGGAGTTGTCCGAAAACCCCAGTCTAGGATATATAGATAGTAATCGAGTTTTCATGTCATGCTGTTAAAGGCAAACGCTTCATGTCGCGAAAACTTGCGTAAGGGAGGCGAAAGGTTCGCGAAGGACGGGTTTAAACATTTTTAAACCGACTATATATATAATTTTTTATCATACATAAATGTCACCTTAAAGCTTAACCACCTTTGCATTTGGAAAAACTTTGCACCTTGAAGCATTTTGGCTCTAGCTTCCAATTCACTCCTGTTTGTGCATCATGATTCACACCGCACAGTCGGTATGTGTCCTATATTGCTTCCACACCAAAAGAATAAAAACATGGTCCATGTTTGCTTGAACCCTTCTTGCTTTGTTGGCAATGCAGTTGTGGTTTCGTTTTGCATAATTCATGCTTGGCTTTTTGTATGCTTGAGTTAAGCTATGTGTCGTTGAACTTGAACCTAGTTATAGCTTATGCAGTGTGAGAGTATGTTGTTTTTTGCTGGAAGACAGGATGGGAAGATGAGTAAAAGATTTGGGAAAGCTCGTGAAAGGTCGCGAAAGACAAATCTGCATGCATCCGGAAGGTGGTCCCCCCACGAGTGACGTACTTGTAGCGTACTACATGTCGCAGCAAACTCCAGCCTCCAGCGATGTCCAAAGACTCTTGCTTCCAAACATGTAAGGACTTAACTGGTCTCCAAACTTGTTTTTGTAGAGCGGCCATGAACACAAACAGCAACAAGCAAGTAGAGGTTCACAAACGATGAAGCCAGAAACGAGAACAAACGCGGAAATAATGTGCATGAAAGCAGACGAAAGGCTTGCCAATGGAAGCGAAAGACCCTTTTCGGGAGTTCAGGACAACCCCTATATACCATCGAATACAACACTAAGAGTCCCGCTTATAAAGCAATGTGTTTTTCCGAACCCTAGCAGGTTGATGTGCACAGCACCGAGTTCCAAAAGGCTTCTTTTTGTCAGACGCGTTCCCTCATTGTTTTCCACCTGCTGAAATAAACCGTCGATCCCAAAGCCTCACAGTGTCAATCAACCTACTGCAAGACTCATTGTGTCATTCAGTCTGGCATAGCCTGCATCCGAGATGTGGTGTCATTCATTGTGTCATCCAGTGTCATTCGACCGGGCCATGTTGCCTGCAGATTTCAGCGGGGAACACATCATCTGGTTTCCACCGTGGACTGTCGACCTCGATGACCAGCGGAGAGATCCATTTTTGGGATTCGAGTGATCAGACAGTCATCACTCAGTATGGACAATGTTGTTAGGTTTTTTTCAGAGATGCCGAACCTCAGAAGTTCAACTTGACGGACACAGTAGAAGACTCTGGGAGCTCTACGTCTAAAGGCTTTGTCTCTTTTTTCACATATGTGTTGAAGTTGGAACGCCGCTGCGTGATTCATGTGTGCAACAAAAGACATGTACGGTCAAAAACAAAGCCGAATATGCGAAGAAAAGGAGGTAGAATAAACATTTATAGGTAATAGCAATCCTCTTTACTCACCCAATGATTATCATAAAGGAAAAGACTGTCCATCTATTATTACTAATGCAGTTTCCAAACACATGGTGGCATGAGTATGGCTCTGATAAGAAGTTCAAAAGCTTGGTCAGTGTGGTGCCCCCAGAACCCCTCAGCAAGCCCTGAGAGGTTCTGGAAACGGCACCACAGCCACCTAAACTGTGCATTCCTCAACACGTTTTCGTCCCACCAGCCCACTAGAACAGTTCACAGAGTAAAAGAAAAGCGTAGGGAAGAAAAGATAAGATGAAACAGCTCAAATGTCAGGTATCTTGCCAACTACGTCCAGAGTGTCTTCAACACACTGCAAGAAGAGAAGGTTCCAGTACAAGGTGGAACCTTGGTGGTCTCCGGCGATGGCCGATTTTGGAACCCCGAGGCACGGTCCGGGTCAACGGGTTCATCGTGGAAAAACAGTTTTTGGATCGAAACGAGGTCCAAAGCAATTAAACAAAGGTGTACAGTAGTGCCCGTTATTTTTTGGGGGGGTGGTGAGTTCACTGTATACATGTATAATACAGGTGGTTTGCCCTTGGAGCTCTCCAGGCGGATCTGAGCACAACGATAATACGCATGATCGTAGCTGAACTCCTGGACCAATCAGAGTCTTCTTGAACCCTTGAATACATTTATTAAATCCGGGGTGGAAAAACGTTTCAGAAGAGGCTCCAAAGTAGAAATACCTTAGGCTCTAGCATTTATATAGATATTCCAAGTGCGAAATGTTGTTTTGCTTTTGTTCCCGCTGCCAAACTCATTACCAGTCTTCCTTTGCTCCTTCTTTCGGCAACCGTTGCACCCCAGCACTCGTTGATGGAAAATACCGCAGCGAGGAGACAACATACTTGGGTCAACCGAATTCCATGATGTGTCCAAAGTCTATATACATATATATATATACCGTTTTTCACTTTCCTCCAAATGCTGATTTTTACGCTTGCCTGATTCATCGATTTGTGTGTCATGTGGACATGGCTCAAGCATAGGGTACTATCCAAAACCACCGAGTGCGACAAAAAAGAAGCAAAACCTCCAGGTGGCTGTGGCTGGATATCATTTTTTGAATCACATCCCAATCATGGCCATACCATATTGTGTGATATCCACATTGTTTTGAAGCCATTTGAATGGCCATCCATGGCCATACCTTTGTGGTGAGGCCATCCAAATCATCATCAAAATGGCCTTCGCCGCTGGCGTGGCCCGGGTGTGGTGTGGCACCAAAGGCCTTCTCTCCACACCGGCCACCTCGGCTGTGATCCGATGCCGGGGAGGAAAAGGCTACGAGCCTTTTGGAGGCGGAGCAATGCGAAGCAACGGTTTTCACGGCGAAGCAACAAGAGATAGATAACGATATGTTAAGGGAGAACGATATGTAATGTTAAGGGATCGGCAATTTGCTGGCGAAGAAGATGTTATTTGTTTTAATGTCTTTCGAGTTGCACAGTCGAAATGACTTGCTTTGGCATGGATGTTTTCGAGCTCACATGCTTGCGGGATCCACTTTCTCATTGCCCTTACAGTGTTCAGCGGGACACTGTCATGTTTCCTCTTTACATGCTAATCTAGTCTTTGAAGTTTCTACATTTTCCAGTTCACAGCCGTACGCATCAGCAGGATTTATTTGCTCCGCGTCACACAACCCGGGTGGCATCGACAACGATTTTGGCATTAAGTGCCTTGTCGTGAATCTGCCAGCGATCAAGTCATTGGCCGCTTGAGCATGCTTTATATAGCCATATATAGCCATTTTGTCGTCATGAGTTTCTTTGTTATCCATGTCAAGAAGCCAGCTACACTAATTCAAGTTGTAGGGCGTTGAGTATTGTTCCTCCCTTCAAGAAAGGAGTGTCAAGAAGATTTGACTGAACAAGACCAAAGTATGCAGAAGGTCAAGTCCAGTTTTGTAGCGAAAGGAACCACAATAATGTATATAACAAATGAGAGCAACCCGTTTGACATTCTCTTGCTTCCTCCCTATAGGCCAGTCTACTATAGGCCTGGCCATGACTACTTCTACAATTTGTAGAAACACGGAGCTTGCAGTCTTAGTAGATGTAATTTGCTCCATGACTGGATGCATTTACATGCATCTACCATTTGCACTGCTGCTCTTGTAGCCTGAGCCAAGCCGGACAATGTCATGGCATTTCCGGATGAACTTGACGGGATGCCGCTGAAGAGTCCTTTCTGGTTCTGCAGACTGGGAAGACCATTTAGTTAGTGTCTTGTTTGTCTTGGTACAACTGCCGTGTTGAGGTACAACTGCGAGAATGGAGGCCCAGCACCCGAAAAGCTGACCAACAAGATGGTCGAATGGACTGCCAAGATTACGGAATTGAAGACTTGCAGTGTCTTGGATCGAACAACCTCAGAGCGATGCATGAGGTGGGGATGTGGGTCATGGCACCCTTGGGCCACCCCAAGGCATCCTACTTAACCTTTGGACACTATATCAGCTACTGTATATCGAGTGCCAGACTATCAGGGAGGTGATGCCATCCCATGATTTTGGGTCAGTGATCTTGCGTTCGCGTCACGCTATTTATGAATGACATGCAATAGATGCATCACATGTGTGGAACCACCAGGGAGTCACAAAATGCAAAGCCATGAATGTTGGTGGCAACCGATTCTTAAGATCAAACTCCTAGGATGTCAACCCCCCCAAACCATGGAATCGTTTGACCCCTATTTCTCACATGTTTGGGTTCTTTGGGGGGCCCAGACAGGTTCCGTAGATTGCCATAGATTGCCTCAGGTAAGCTCC